CCCTGCCCTTTCTTCAACTTACTCAGCAAGCAACAAATACTTTGCCATGTGCGACAAGAGAAGTGTTACAAGAAATAAGCTCTCTCGCACTGTTGTAATTGAAAATCTTTCATAGTAGTATCCAGATTAACATGACATTTTGTGAAATAAGTAATAAAACACAAAAAAATAAAGTTGAATTTATAAATAGTTCAGATCAGGTTGAAATAGCATCTAATGCATTTCATCTTTAAGTGAAGTCTTCTTGCTAGGTGTAATAACCTTCCATGCACTGGATTTACACTCAAAGAGCTACATTCTCCTTTCAATTAATTTCCAGTCAATGGAGTCTGCTGTGGGGTAAATGAGAAGAGATTATGTCTCCAAATGCCTAAAGGCCTTTGCTGAGAGTTGCTGCTGTTGCATACAAGAGAGTTACGTTAACCTATAAAGCCTTAAAAATCAGACGGCAGTTGAGACAAACCCTTTATTATTATGCTGATTCTGAAAAAAATAAAATGCAGTATGTTTATTGGAAGGAAAGTTGGGGATTTAAAATCAATGAGACTTTATTGCATCATGGATCATTATTTCCCACAGCTTTAACATTATTTTGCCATTTAGAGACTGAAGAAGCCGCAGGCTACCAGCTACCAGCACAGTAGCTTTATGTTCTGACTGTAGCTTAGAAATGAGCTAAATACAGTAATTATATTAACGGACCTTAGATTTCAGCTCTCACTTTCTTGAAGCAAGCTGTCCTGTTCATCACCATTAAAAGGCCCCCTCCATGATGTAAAAGAGGAGCAGTGCAACGATGTCTGGTTTTGCTATGCTGTTCAGTAATCTAGTTAAAGACTAAGAAATACAAAGTCTCGGACTCAGGGCCTTTATTTGCCATTTTTTCATTTCATAGGAACAAAGGGACAGCAGAGGGAATGAAAAGGTAACAAAATTAAAAAGGGAAAATAACCCTATTTTTAATACCTGGTTAGCCTGTGACATACAACGCCACAAGGGCTAAGCAGCAATCAGAAAAAGGATTGTACCTGGGATAAAAGACTGGCATTTTCAAAGGGTCCCAATGAAATTCAGTTGGGTACTTAACTGTCTTATGCACCTTTGATAATTCAAACCAAAAGTAATATGGGAAAGCAAGTCTCATGTTAGAGGACATTAATTACTAATTGTCAGGGATAGAAAGAAACTTTGCCTGTGCTCATCTGATTGCATGAATGTTCACTCTCCTATCTCAGAGATATCTGGCACTAGCCTCTGTCCAAGATAGGCTTAGATATTGGGTTGATTTAGCATGGCAATTCCTATGTTCCTATATAACCTTGGCCTCCATTCCATTTGAAGGCTTTTTATTAATCAGGAACCACTAATAAAAAGAATTATTTAGATTTAGAAACATCTTGTTCTACCTTCCTCAGCTTCCTTAAAGCACGGTGCCTTAGAAAGGAAATAACTCTTGACATACGTTATCTATATCTTACTGTAGTTACAGCTACAAGCTGCTGCATCTAATCTCCTAATTGCACTTCTTTAGAGATGCAACTAGTACTGTCCGATACATACAGTGACTTAAATCAGTCTCAAAGACATTCAAGTCATTTACTTCAAAAGCTTTTTTTATTATTACCTTTCTTTTCCTTGATATCCTCATCATCACATTTCTATAGCAAGAATGATTCCTTCATTCTTTGCCAGATTGAAGCCTTTAGATAAAATTAAATTGTCAAGGAAGCTCAACTTTGCTGTATTTAACTCTTCTGTGGAATAAAAACCTGCAAGAACCTAATAAGACAGTTAAGCATTAGACATGGTGGTGTAAAGACTCTAGATAATTTTATAATGAACTTTTCATTCCTGTGTCATCCTGGAGGTTACAGCAGGATTCTTTAGTAATGGCCCAAAACACTGAAATTGATGATAGTTCTGCTGCAGCATTTTGGACCAATGCAGTAGATTACTATAGTTTGTGTATAAAGGGTGGCACAGGTACCACAGGTATAAAAACCTAAATGTTAGATTTCTTCACCATACCTTTATTTTTCACTGATACTGTTCAACACACTCAGAATCAGTTTACTATTCCTTTGCTCAATTTGAATTACGTTGGCATTTTAATTATATAGTCACTTTCATCCATACACCTCCAAGTCCTTTGCAAATGAGGATAAATGCCTTTATCCCCATTTTACAGAAAGAGATAAAATACCTTATGTGAGGTCTCCCAGTACATCAGCAATGGAATCATAAACAGAATGCATGTTTTCCTGACTCTTACTTCAGTGTCTGTGGCTCAGTGGAGTTCTTTCCTAACATAAAATACATGTGAACGATTGGCAATAACTCACCGAAATACAGGGCAGGCTCAAGATGGGACTCCTGCTACCTTTGAACTAATATTCCTATGCTCTTTTCCCATAATTTATTAATCAATAACTATTCGTTTAATAACATGCCACACAACAGTGGCTACCAGTGCAGGCTAATGTTGTCAGGCCAGCTAAGGGACCTTTCAACACACTGATTACTGGAGCTGTGCAAACCCTTCCCAGTTTACTTCCAAAAGAATTTGCAATCTTTATCGGTTTGGTGGTGCCTGTTATGCTAAAAGGTTTGGGTTCAAAAGAACACAGTTTTACCACATTTGAATCTCACTGCAAACCTAATGGCAAATTTAAATTTGCATGAGTGCTCCTGCATTCCCATAGGCTCTCCAGGAATGGAAGTGGGCGAAGTGAGCTGTGACATGTGACCTGCCCCAATTCAGCTTTTCCCAGCAAACAGGATTCCATTGCAAAATGCACTTATCAAAAGCAGCCTCCTGGTACTTGTGCGTGTCCACATAAAGCATTATTATAAATGTGGGATGAGAGCCTCAGGCCTGGGTAAAAGGACTGGAGGTGCATAATGGGGCCCTGGGCCTGGCTGGGGGAGAAGTCCCATAGTGCAGGCACTGCCACAGACAGCTGCCTTCTGAGGCCCCTCATGCAAGCTGTGTTGTAGAGGTGTGCTGGGGGTGCAGCTGCAGCAGATAGTGCTGCAGCGATTGTAGGCAGTGCTATGACCCAACAGACAGCCCTGGGATGCTACCGGAACAGGCGCCCCGGATTGTCTTAATTATGTTGGAGGCCACCAAAGCAGCCCAGGATTGGTAGGATATTAAACTAGTTCTCCCCCTCCCACTCCTAGGAGATCGGTGCTGCATCTCTAAGGGGCACAGTGCGGAATTTCACCCATGGTATTTAAGGAAAGGTTATTTGAAAAAGGTGTAGCTCCTTGTTTGATAGATTGTGACAAGCTGGCAGAGAATAAGAAGCCAAGATGTATTCACTTGAACCTCGTCCGCAGATTACTCAAGTGAGTCATTTTCTGTGCTGTAAATGCAGTGGCCCAGATATGCATTGCCAGATCTGAAAATCCATCAACTAATTGTTTTCAGCTATTTGGGTAGTAGTAGATTACATTGCAACATAATAATAGCACTTCCACAGGGCTCTGTGGTTTCAGTGTGCTCTTACTTAATCTATCCACATGACGTCCTTGTGAGGTAGATAAATATTTGTGTTCCCTTTACTATAGATGTGGAAACTTGGACAAGGCCTGGCTTTGAAATGAATTTAAACCAGGAGTAAGTCCACCAAAGCCTAAACAGTTCCAAGGATATGTTCTCA